GCGATTAGCTTTCAGAAATCACAAAAAAATGTAATACTGACCATGGGTCGATCCATAAAGTTGCCAAGTTGTCGATCATAATGGAAATGAGTGCTTCTCCCAGCCTCTTGCCCATTCCTTGCGACCCTGGTATGGCATGCTCTTGGTGAAGCTCACAGGCGAAACGATCCGCTTCGAACTCGAAATGACGGGAAATAGCATGCATGCCAGCTGTCACAATAGTATCCAATGGTGTCAAAACAGCTTGATATAGCAAGAATGCAATGAGGACGGGTGGGTGGACAGCTACACTGGCAGGGAAGTCAAAGGACAAAAGCAGAGGAGTGGATTGGAGGAAGGCAGGGAAGCAGGCGATTATTCCCAGAGTATGGATTTGCATAATAAGCATCAATTTTGTGGGATGGTAATAGTACCAATGCCCAAGTTCATGGGCAAGGACCGCTTCCACACCATCCACTTTGGCGTTCTTGATGAGCGTGTCATACACCACAATATGCTTGCTCCAAGGAAGTCCAAAGAAGTATGCGTTTGAGTGAGATGATCTCTTTGAACCATCAATCTCATAGAGGTGCTTGAGGGGGAACTTGAGGTGGGTGGCAAGCGCTTCGATACGTGATCGCAGGGGTCCTTCCGGCAATGGCGTGAGCTTGTTGAAGAGCGGTTGGATCACCGTAGGATATAGGAATACCATAAGGATCTGGAATGCGAGTCTGGTCTGCCGTTAGAACGGCTATGTTGATAGTATTGGGAAAACTCACATGAAGCCAATGATCCATGGTACGAAGTATTTACCAGCATAATTAAAGATGCTCAAGAAGGCCCACAAGAATGGCGTCCCTAAAAGGAATCCGACGAGCCACCCTTTCAACATGTCTGTGAGGAAGATCGAGGGCGTTGTTTTATTGAAACCATGCTTTTCCTCCAGAACAAAAGTCGAATACACCGAGAGTGGCAACGAAGTGATACTAGAGATGAAAGCGTAGATCATGGAAAACCCGATGGATTGTAGGATCTATCCATGCGATGTCAGGCACCGGATGCATAAAACTACCTGGCTACATACCTGATTGCTCGGATAGTACCCTATCCAGTCCTGAAGTTGCCCAGCCCAGTCCCAACAGAGGGCAAAACCACCATAATAAATGAATATGGTCTCCCAAATTTGAGAGTAGAATGTTTTGAAGAAGGAAAATTTGGCTTTGTCTTTACCATATGCTTGAGATTTGACGAATTTGTCGTGAGGAACAAATTTCTTGAGGTTTGGTGGCGCCTCTTGCTTGGAATAGTATCGGTATTGTCGGGCTCTGCACGGTGTCAGAAAGCGGATATAATCCATCTCGATACTTACAATAAATAGGTTTCAAATAGAGCTACACCCCATGACACTACTATAACGGATTCTTTCCAGGGGAGTGGGTCCGTTTCCACGAACGAGAGGCGATCCTGTAAAAGTCTCACAGGAATGTAGAGGGCGTCTTGCAGACTCATGGTGCTGCTGGCAACAGGCTAAAAGAGGGGGATAGGTCCAAGGTTATACCGCCAATTCCTTCCAAAACTTTCTGACTATCTGGCTTGTTGTCCTGGTGTCGTCGAATCTTTGGAGTCTGCCACGTATTTGGGCGGAGTCCAAGTTGCAATGTCCAATTCAAACCTGTGCTTGTTTCTGTATCATGCTAAGCCTTCATTTCTCAGATGAACGGCATGCTATAAAGCGCTTCCTAAGTTCAGCCTTGAACTCCAATTAGCCTTTTCGGAGTTTGGGCTGGATGTTTACTGTCTTCTACAATCGTGTCGGCCAGCTCGTGACTCACCGATTAGGCGTCTCTCTAGATAAACTCATCCAAAACCATCACTTTATCTGCAGCGGACGAACCATGTCTCAAACACCAAATTATGAAGAAAAGGAAACCAAGTCTACGCCAAAGTGGAGGAAAGGCACGGAATATGCGGATACGACACAACCCCTTGGGGCAGGCGACAGTTTCTTAACATTGGACCTATTGCCACCCGACCTCGAAGCAACCGCATTCGAGAATCTAAAGAAAGAAGTGCAATGGAAGACCATGTACCACCATGGCGGGGAGGTCCCTCGGCTTGTAGCTGTGGAAGGTGAAATCCAACCAGACGGCTGGTAAGTCCTGTATATTCCACGCATACTTGCC